TACACGAACCGCCTCCCTCCTTTCCCATCATCCTATCCGCCTCCGCCATATTTTTTTCTCATTTCACCAACAGATGTATCTCTTTCCTTCCCAACCTCCCTTGCTCATTTTCCTTTGTCTCCCTGGTGAAGCACAGACTAATATTTCTCTAACGGCGGGGAACTTGCTGCTAATATTTGGTTATACTCTTTTTATATCAAATCTGGCTTTTCCTCTTGTCTTATTTACATTGTCCAATGTTCAACCCAATCAGGAAAATTATGCCACTTCCACTTAGGCGGAACCCTTCCCTCAATTCCTACTACTTCTATCCCTTGGTTCTGCTTGATATTCTACTAGTTTCCAATTGGTTTAGTTATTCTTACTATGTTGTCCACACTATTGAGTTCGATTTACTTTTTATCCACCACAGGTTGCCTTAACAACCAATTCTCAGTCGTTAAGTTAAAGGGTTTGAGTGAATGTGTATGCATATTTGGCTGCAAAGTCGAGTAGATTAATAGTGGAAATCATTTGCTAGAAATTAAACAAAACCTGGGTGAGCTAATGGCACATTTTAAAACATAGGTGGTCTTTCTTTACGAGATTGGCCTTTAGGGATATTTGCCATTTTATCACTGACGAATTTACGCCTAAAGCTTCTAGGGATTTGTGTATCAATAGCTTCATTTTATTGATGAAAAGCTATTAGCTGCTCAGTTGATATCTGATGTAAGTAATATACGATATTGTGTTCTGGGAGATAAGGTGCTGGACGATTTCCAAATCGAGTTTCTATTTTTTGTGTCTTTTCTCAAGACAAGATTAATTATGTTCCATGAGAATAGAAATTATGCTTTATAACTTCAGTCTATTGTTATAAGTTAGTCTAATATGTCCGAAGTCAAGTCCAGTTATGATCATGTCATTCACTTTATAGTTGAGGTGATTATCTACTTCAAGGACTCTGGGTATTTGGGTAAAAGTGGGACAGTTGAATGTAGGTCACCGGGTTCACCACTTATATTACGGAGACTTTTCGTGTACAACTATCGTGCTCATTGATTGAGCAAGTTAGTACGTAGGGATTCGTTCGTATGAATACCTTGCTTACTTTATGTATTAATTTATTTCAAATGGCGGGGTTTATGACACTTATCATTAATCCCTTAGCTGACTTCGGGCTTCACAGAGGGGAGGAACATCAAAGTGTGAAAAAAGTGGATAGGGGGAACAGAAGAGTGATTCGAATACAGTTAAGTGACACGCAAACAGACACAAAGGCAGAGAAAAGGTAGGATTTGTACGATGAAAGTGGTCAAAATGACATACATTGGGGTCATGGCAATTTGAAGTCAGAAGTCAACTGCCGGTTTATAGACATTTTTTCCGTATGAGAATACGTTGCTTTTGACTTCCTCTCAATCAAATTAAATTAATGATAGCAACAGAATAGTAAGAATTCAATGCTTTGTAGTAAACATTGCATATTTTATTCTTTTAAACGCCTTAACTTTGTACATTCAACTATTGTTTATTCCATTAATTAAGGTCATTTTCCAATTGGCACTTGAGTTACTGCGTCTTCATCTTCCCATTTTTTCCGGCTCTCTCGAGCGTGAAGAAATCACCAATACTCTTCTGCATCTCTCTCATTTCTTTAATCGTCTCAGCAGTGAATCCTCTTCACCAAATATCCGCTACACGCTCACGTCACCCGAGTTGTCTTTGCGACTGTTTTTCCCTGATGGTCATGAAAAGCCTGTCACAGTGGAACAACTACTCAAATCAGCTAGATTCAACTTTGGTGGCACGATCACATTCGAGAGGATTGAGGAGTTGCGAATGGCTTGTCGCCTTCGTGTAATTCATGCTCTTTCTGACAGTTCTGTGCGGGAAGCAATTCGTTTTCTACAGCCCCAACTCTCTACTAGACCCGAAGATCTGGCTGCTGTTTGCTTTGCTTATAGGGTAAAGTTACTCTATCATCGATTTGGGATTTAAATAAATTCTATTTTACCAACCTCCTAGGGAATGGGCGAATTGAAATTGTTTCATATGGTATCCACCACTACTGAATGCTAATTTTCTAAATGACTTGACCGTATAATTTTGAATTCATGGCGAATTGTTTAAGATTTAGAAATGAAATCCTATTCAAATCAGACAGAAGAGTAATTTACAGATGTAAAAGATATAGACACAAACGTAGAGAGTGGAGTAAAATGAGAACTGTGGAAGTGGTGGAATATGACATACAGTGGGGTGATGGTAGCTTGAAGTGAGAAGTCAACTGCCGATTAATAGACTTTTTGCAGTATGAGTATACGTTGCCCAGGGTGCACCACTTGGAAGTAAGTCTATTAAGCGCCTCACCCCCTTTCGTCATATCATAATGTTCAATATTTCAAAAGTCGTAAGTTGCCCTCTCGTTTCCTTAGCTCAATTTTCAGATTACAGTGACCTTTGATTAATTTCAGTAGCTTTTCATGCCGTCTCATAGAGTTGTTAGTTGGTACTAGCAATTTAAGGGGCAAATTAACTGTTTCAGTTAATCTATTCTCATTAAAAGCTATTTAATGTATCAAAACTCTTTTGTTTAACTTTATAACTGCTAGACAGGTTGGCTGTACAATGGATGCTAAGACTTCTCGATTTCTTTTAAAACGAACAGTCATATGATATAATCCTCCAGGTATGATACACACAACTACGCGTTGCATGTATCATTTTTGTACGTGTTGATGCTAATCGCCACTAGGGACACTTGACAATGATATATCTTTTGTTGCTGTCTAGGGTCTTGTTTATCATTTCAACTTCGAAATATCTCGTCATTATTCGAAGTGGTGGCTAAATACTGGAGCAGCTGATGTAATATGAGGCATGTGCAGTATGTTTCTCCTTTTTTGAAATCGAATGTGTTCGGTAAATTTTAGCGCCAAGCTCTAGGGTGTCAAAACCCATGTTTTATAAATTATTAAAACTAGATAAATGCTTTAAATGAGGCTTTGTTTCAACGATATTGTCTATACTATGATAGATTTTCTCATAATATGACTCGTTTCTGTGTTATATTAATCTGTCAAATTTTCGTTCCACTTTGTTTCCAGGAGCACTATGTCACATCGCGTTATTATAGAATACAACAGGCGCAACCGGCTGTACAATATGGACAAGTAAGCTCACTTAATCGACCCTCCTATGACATGCATCGCATTGATGCGGATCAGTTTTCCAGTCTCTTTCGATCTCAAGCCCCATCGACGTGGACGTTCCTCGCCTTACCTCTTTTCCGTCTTCTGGATGCTGATTTGGACAATCTCATCAATATGCGGGTATGTTGATGCCTCTGCGTCTCCTCGAGGTATTTAATATTTTTTTCATCTCTAAAGAAGCCGTTGGATTTAAATGCTAGCACTGCCCATGTGGCAATCTCTTGTTGATCAGAATTTAACATGGCTATTTGTCTCCCACACGATTGGATGTTCACTGATGGCCATGGATGGGGGTAATAGTTTATTCATAATATCCATGGCCAAAGTAAATACTATCGCAAATTGTTTGTACCTGATGGTCGAGATAAAAGATCTCTCGTCTGAATCCAGAAAGGTAAATTAAAATCGTATTTTTTGTTTTAATGTAGTAAATAGAATAATCTACGAATAACAGCATACTGAAGATTTAATAGTTTGAAGCAAGTGTTGTTGAAAGTGTTCGCCGTGAATTTCGATACACAACTTAGCACGCCTCTTTTATCGTGGCCACACTCTGTATATTGTAGCATAAAGTAACGACTTTTAAACACAATTTTGTAAACATGAGGCTTTTTGCATATATATATATATATATATATATATATATAAAACGCAACGAAAAGATAAAGTGTGCTGGTTAGTGTTATTAAAATGCTGCCGCTATTAGTTTCAAAATTGTCACCTGGGTAGCGGGCGGTAAAGCAAAGGCAATTATTCTCTTTTCTGCCTTATTATTGGCGTTTAAGTGTTCCTAACACCTGCCCTTTCCCGTCCATGAGGGCATATTTATATATTAAATTTTGCCTGAATAGCTCAGGAGGTAAACTCACGTGGTCAAAGTCACTCGGTCTTATCTGCCTATTAATTTAGCTCTAAAACAGTGACTATTTGAGAACAGAGAGAGAGGGAGAGAGAGAGAGTGAGAGCGTGAGTTTGTTTGACGCTAATGAGGTTCAGTTGCTTGCAACGTCATCTACAAGTGGAATTTCGTCTAACATGTGTGGGACGCGATTTGAAGGCGCGCATACAGCTTCGACAAATGCCACTATAATTATCTTTCAAGTAATTATCGAATAGATAAAGTCATTCGAGTTTAAGTTTGCTTGCAACAAAAGCGTGCGTAAAATGTTAGCTTTTAATTTACTGGGAAAAAAATCCCTGTGAATCTCGTAAATGCGAAGTGAATTCGTCAATTTCCTTATCGGAGATTTTTTATGGATATTAATAAAGGGTTAATATTTTTTCAGAGATGTCTTCATTTGATGCTTTGATAGCTTATCTTTGGAATTAGACTTTATTTCTAACAGTAAATGACTCCAAATGAGTAATCCCTTTCAATGGAATTTGTGGTTTTTCAGCGGGTTTTTTTGGACTGCTCGACTCAAATATAAGAGTATTAATTTTCTTTTATTTTTTTGTCGTGTGATAAGTACACCTTGTCTCCAGCTCTCCTGGCAATTATGTTTCTTAAGTCTTCTTGGAAGTAGGTCGATCTTGAACTTAATTTGACAAATATGGTGGTTTACAATTTGGTATTTAAAGATTTGGCTTATGCAGTTAACGTATTCCCAATCGAGCCAAAAGATCCTACTTTTGAAGCGCCCAATTTGAGGCTAAATGCGTCTTTCAGCTAACTGATTTTGGTGCTATTTGTTGAGATAATTCAAGTCTACTAAAGTGGTAATTTGGCATGGGTAGACCATCATCTAGAGTGAAGGTGTGTATAAATTCTCATTTCGAATGACGTGTTTTAATCGCCACTCGACGAAATGTGAGTTCGAACACTAAGTGGAATAACATAGAAAAGAAAGTAACCAAGCTTTCCCAAGATTATGAGGCATCTTAGGCGTCTTTCCATTTTTTTCTATCAACGTGGTAGCCAACTTGTAGTGTTTGCATAGGACATTGACTTAAGGCACAGAATAAACACTTGGGTAACTGAAATGTCCAGACTGTTGCAAGCGCATAGTGTGTATGGTTGTTATTGCTTTTCTACAATTTCTTCACGAAAATTGTATTGATCAGTGTGGGAAATCGATGTCGGCACGTTCTCATCTCTGATTTTCTGTTTTGCACTCATGCAATTGAAAAAAAACAAAAAAATTATATTAGAAGTTGGTATTGATGTAAGCTAATGAAAACCTAGTCTTAGTGTTTTCTACTTTTCTATTATCTAGGATTATGCATGGCTACTGCTTCTTATCGCCTCATCTGACTATCGTAGAAAGCTTCGTCTTCTCTTCACAGTACATTCTCCTGATTACATCCTTCCTGAAGATCGTAATGGTTTTTGGGATCGTCGATCATCTGCTTCCTCTCTTTCAAACAACAGCTCACCTCCGATCGTTGAATGTGCCGAGGAGTTGACAGAAGAGACCACTGTTGTTGGCATAATGAAAGAAGAGGGTTCGAAATGCGACCCCTCAAGTGCTCCTGAGTTTCGTAGTAGAAAAGATAGTTTTCGCTTCATCAATGTTCAATATACGGGTCCTGAGGCTTTGGAGGCACCTGCTGCGTTGACAAAACCCTCCTTCATTGACTTACTCAAAGTTAGTTAGTAAATTAAATGTCATTGTCTCCCTCAAGCTTTTAAATCAGTTCCAGCCCTATTATCATTCTGACTTACGCGTTTTATTTCGCTTTAATTCGCCAATGTTTCATTCTTTGTTTCTTATTTCGCATTTTTATTCCTACCTAGAATAGTTCACATGAGTATTGAATCCTTTCTGACGAATTGAGTATCGCTACTTCTTTCACTATCTATTCTTTTCTTCTTGGAGTTCAAAATGAAGGCTAAACCGATTGTGTCTATTAAATTAACACAGCGTCTCATTCAGGTTTCTCTTAGTTTACACAATTAAATTCAATTTTTCTTGCAATCGTTTGTGGTTATGTTTCGTTACCTCTCCACTTGTTGCTATGCCACCTTGCTGTTATGCTTGCCTCTTATATTAGTTGAATGGAGGTAGGGTTAAGGAGGAGGAGGAGGTAATGGACGCGTCGTATGTATTGGATCTCACTCCTTTTTCTTCTTGTTGCTTCATTTCTTCATGCTACCGAATTTTCGTTGTATCTATTGTCGAAATTCTCTCGAATATCGGCTTTGTTGTTCGGCTATAAATAGGCAGCAACGTCTGTTAATTTTGACTTTGGTCTAGGAGTCCGCCTCTTCTAAACAGAAATCTTTCCCTTTTTTAACAAACAATTATCCCTCTGATTTACTGTGTTTATTTTGCTTCTATGATCCGACAGCTTAGTAGAGGTAAACAAACAACAACTTTTTATTATTTTTTCTTCTCTTGAAATAAAAATGTTCTCTCTTTATACCTACGTAATGTTAAGTTCGTTCGCTAAGTTATATGGTTGTTTTGGAGTCTCCTTTCATTCACCGCGGGTTTGCACATGATTTTTTGGTGTACTCTACAAAGGAAGATGAGACGAAGCGATGAAGCTCCGTTTTCTTCGAGCCAAACAATGCTAAGTTGGCTTCAAAATCATTCGCCTTGTCTCCCCTACCCTGCTCATGTTTACCTGGCATCAACTCTATTTCTACCATATTGAGGATTGGCTTGCAGCAAAGAAGTGCGAGTTGGTTCGCCAAGATTGTCTTGTCCTGATAAATAACCACTCAGGGCACTGGGTGGTAGGACAGTGGTAGTTTAACTGCGCAGTTTGACGTTCTCCCTTTCTATTATTATTATTATTATTATCATCATCAATATTTCTGTGTGTGTTTGTTTTAGAGCATGTCACTAAATGGGCTTACGGGAAAATGAACACGAATTCTTCAACACATCGTTCGCCTGTTCGATTTATTTAGTTCGAGATTCTACTGAATGCAATCCTGCGTAAAAACGAGCTTTGTATTTTATAGAGGTCTGTTTAAAGCTTAAAAATAGGACTCACAAGAGAGCTTGATCAAGTGCTTAACTTCCTTCGAGATGGAGTGGCTTGAAAATTTAATTTGCACATAATACGAAAATGTGCGTTTGAATTAAGTCGTGTTCTCGTGAAACTTCTGGTTCTTTGTACGTGGCTCCAACTACGTTAGTGTTTGCCCTTTCCGTTCAATCGCAAACTGCGGTAGTAGATTTAGCAATGTTTTCTACGCTGTACAGATTTGTAATCTTAAGGTTTGAGCTAGAGAGAGAGGGAGAGAGAGAGCTACAGGGCTTTAGGAAAAATCCAGTTTGGAATTCTTTACACATTTTCTGATATAATCGATTCATCCTTGCTTTATATCGCTGGTTTTAAGTGCTTAACGTTTTCTTCTCTTGCAAAGATAATTGTTGCTGTTCACTTTTGTAGTGTTTGACTCTTTCTGCTGGTGTACAGTAATGAATGATAATCATAGGCCATGTCAAAAAGATCGTTGCCACGTACACAAATTAAAAATTTCCCTTTAGAGTAATAAATTGATGTTCATTGCAGATGGCGCTACTGATTATCCCCAGGATTGTCTTTGATTGGCCGCTCTATTCCTTCCCTCCCAAGTTCAGCATTGTTTACTTTTTTTCAACGCTGATAAAATACGTTTACTCTAACTGGATTGCCATTTCCTTGGATTTCCAATTAAGATAAGTCCATTCTGTGACCCCGCCTTGATGATGGCAGTGCTTAGTTGGAGTTGGAATTTTTTGCACTCTCTCTAGGCAAAAAGCTAGGCAGAAATTCATGAATGCGGCGAAAGACTCTGGCCTCTGCACCACTTATCACTCTTTTAAATCAGAATTAGCTAAGTGGGCTTTAATGAGTAGTAAAGCGGAGGCTACTGTCCGGTATTTTCTGCTAAATGTTTTTTTTCTTATATACTCTACTAAAATATTATAAAATTTGCTGAAATATTAAATCCGCAACGCTACTCGCTTTATCATTTGAAATCGGTGTTTTAAGTAAGAAAGCGTGTGCGCCTATCGAATTTTTGGACCTCGGGGAACAATTTTGACGTAAACTTGGGCTGTGGAATGTGTTTGCCAAAGTTTAAATTAGGCGATTCGGTAAATTATCATGTCCCTGCATTTGTTTGAGAAACTTGAAATGATTGATTTTTTTGGTATACTTAATTGAATTTCCAATTTGGAATTACGTCTCACTCAGTTTCTTATCCACCATTTTTTAATAATTTCGAGGAAGTCAGATAAATTCCTTGTCTTTCGCTGGTGGTTTTGTGATACTGTGATCTTAGTGTTATGGTTCTCGAGATTGAAAAAAACATTAACAAACTTACCAATGCATTCATTCGCCAACATCATCGGTTATTTTCGTCAGCATGTGGATTGTTCATCAGCGGATTTCAAGGGCCCACCTATATGTTTCTTTTTCATTAATATCGAGTGATGTGGATGGCTATTTGCTAAGAATTTTTTCTCTCTACATGACTAAAGTGCTTATTTTAGTGATCTATAGATGTTATTGATCATCCTGGAGGAATACTTACGAATGCATTTTCGCGTGGACTTATTGCAATAGGCTCATTTGACTTGATCTAGATTTTACATGTTTTCGGCTGATACTATGTTTATTTTAAGTCTTAAAGCAATTCATTATCTCGTTCTTCTAGACAATCAATTTCATCCTACTTAATGATCGGAAAAGTGAGCACGATCTTCTCCATGCTTTGGCTCGGTTGGGCCAACAATGTCAAATTACTGTGACAAGAAGGAACAGCACTCTGGCGGCAGAAAGTGGGGCAGAACCGGAATGGAAAATCGAATTTAATGATTTCCAAAATGCCGTTTATTGCATTCCCGAGCTGGTTTTGGCATTCAGTCAGCCTATTACTTTGGCATCTCGGATTAATAGAAATGGAGATGATCTCGCACCAACTACTTGAGTAAAGTTCTCATGACATGATTTTGATAATGTACTCCCTTTCCCTTTTTATTAAATGGTATGCTACGCTTCAAGTTTGATTTTCCTCTTTTATGACCTCGATTTGAGCAATAGATTTGTTGACAACTCATGCTTTCCTGCTTCGGGGCCGGGTTTTGCTTGAAGTTAGTTATCGGTTAAGAGGAGGCTTAAAGGTGGAGTGTGCCTGAGTATTAGAATGGGTGTGGTATGTGTAGAGCAAAGAGTTGCTAAAAATGAATGGAAAATGAGGCAATTAAATGAATAATTCAAGGTGTGATCGCGGTCAAACAGTGGTCCCGGCTCTTCGAAGCGCGCTCATTGATATGGTAGTCAACCCCATTGATTGTTTTTTTTAACAAATTTAATTCTACATAGTTGCTACCTCCTCATATGAATAAGCATACACGTCACTAGGCCAATACATTGGCTTCTGCGTTATCATGCTGGCGTGTTGACATTCTAGTAGCTTGGACTATGGGGCATTTTTGTGTTTTATGCATTCACCGGTGTAGTTCTCTTAACAACGTGCTGCATTACTAAGTATAGGTGTGCTTTTAAGTCATCAGCATTTCGAAACATCTAGGGGCTGTTAAATTAATTAAGTGAGTCCTCTGTGTCACTATGGGTGGTCGCTCTACGGTATGTCTTGGCAACCCAATAAACCAATATATTTACATTTGAGAGCACTTATTATGACCTACCACAAGGAACCATTACTCTAAGTTATATTTCCTCTAATTATGAACTTTGCCTCGAAAAATACTACGTTGTCAATCTTTGCCTAATCTTCAAATGATAACCATTATTATTGTTATGATGAAATCGTGCCTCTCCTGAGTTGTTGTTAGTTCGACCTTTTTCTCTACTTATCTGATATTTTAAATTTGTAATGGCTGCGTGAGTAGGGGAAGGGGCTAAGCACCCGCAAATTCTCTATAATGATTAAAGATGTTACAAATAGTCTTCAGCAACTGCTCAACTGTTTCAGATGGGAAATTTGCAAGCGTGTGTGTAAGTGAGAGTAGATGGATTTAATAGGATAAATGCATCAAGTAGAGTGCTCTTTGTCATTGGGAAGCATTGAGAACTCTCGGGGTAAAGTTGGCCACATCATTGCATTCGAGTCACCATCAGTTCAACATGCCTTTATGGTGGTTCATCAAGTAACTTCCTTACCACGATCAAGTTAGAAAGGAGGGGAATTTTTCTTAAGCACTTCTTAATACATGTCCAGGTTTAGTTACTTCTTGAGTGCTCCCTCTCATCTGCAAGTGAACAATGAAACGTTATCCCTCTAAATCAGTATTCAAAAGGTGAATACATTTTAGAATATTTTGCTATATCAGCCAACGTTATATGTTAATGGCAACACAGGAGTTTTAAAAAGATCCGATCGATCCTCAAATGTGCTTACCATCGTTCACTGATAATATGGGATAACAAAAATGGAAACGAATGGAAATTCTCCGTCAAGAAAATTGGATTTTCGCTTTCAACGGTTACCCACCGATCTTCACATCTAAGTCCCAATTGTGCTTCGAGTTGAGAAGTCACATTTTAAATTTAATTTGAATTTCATTGCGCATTTCACTTTCGTGGTATTATATTGAAGTCGATATATTTCTTCCTATCCAAAATCTCTTAATTAAGCGGACTAAACTAACTTAGTCCATAACATTTAAATTTTTGAGTTTGAAATAGCAAATATTATGCAGTTTCTATTTTTTTATAATTAGATTTACGCAGATATTGAACCAATTCTAGTGTTAAACAATGCATTTGCAAAGTGACTCAGTTGGTTTCCTAATATCCTTTAATTGTTTAAGTATTAAGGTGTGTCGTATATCGTATGTTTGTGAAGCAAAATTGTTTGTACACCTTATTCTAATCGCATTGATCTTTTTAAAAATAAATCTATTGTGTAACAATTAGTTCTACATCTCTTTCAATTGTTGAAACTAGCATGATTAGTGGAAATATTGCGGACTCGTCGGTACAAATGTTTACATTGTTATATACAGTGTCTTAAAATAGGGACAATGAAACATTTAAGGTGGCTTCACGCAAATGCCTGCTTTTTTAAATTTAGACAATCTCTAATTGTTTGAGCAGGCATTCTATGAAACCCACCTAAGCCTCATTATGTTGGCATTACTCCACTGGGTATTTTATGCGCATGTACTTTTACCAGCCATACATTGACAATTAAGGCTTCGCGTTCATGTGCTGTATTGTCTTGAGAAATATGAGACTGCTTGTTTGGCTTCAAGTTCCCAATGCTTTAAATGCACCTATTGTGGAAATGCTAAATATATATTATTAAAGGACAGTGGTAGCAACCGTTTCGCCGTCATGCACCGCTTAATGCCAGCCTTTTAAAGAACGGTTACAGTGATGAATTTGAATTAAAATGATTAATCTTTGGCATGGAGACTATTTTTACGTATTGATTGCTTAGCAACTTTGTAATGACCACTTTCATGGCAACTTTCTCTAATAGGGATTAGGGTTGTTTGGTCTAGTTTCCTCCCAAATGCTACCAAATTTTCCCACCGCGCGTCTGCACAATCTCGCTGTTGTGCTTGTCCTATCAAATAACCAGAATGGTATTTAAATAGGGTCAAGTCGATGCTACTCAATTGTTGAGTCTGCCTAAAGGGGAGTTTGCAGTTGTTCGACAAAATTTGCTGTTACTCTGCGTCTCAGTATAAATACCTACTCTTTGCGATCACACCACACACGCATACACACACACACACTCACGTATTTCCCTGCGTCCAATAAAGTTCCGCAATCAGTCATCCCCCCCCCCCCTGTTCTCTACCTTGAATTGTTGAAATCGCAAGAAAATGGACGAGTTCTAACTTAGCAAGAACTTCACTGTCATTGAGGTAACTTGCTATCTCATAACCTATTTCTTCCACTTGGGGGTGTGCGATGGACTTACCTCCACGTGGTGCACCCTGGGCATCGTATACACATACGGCAAAAAAGTCTATTTATGGGCAGGTGACTTCTGACTTCAAACTACCATCATCCCACTGTATGTCATATTCGACATCTTTCACAGTACTCACCTAACCTTTTTCCTACCTTTTCTAACTTCGTCTTTGAAACTCTTCTGTTCCCCCCCCCTCTCGACTTTTTTCACTTTGATGTTCCTTCCCCTCTGTGAAGCCTGAAGTCAACTAAAAGGCTAATGATAGCCATCAAAACGCCTGCCATTTGATATAAATAAATAAATTTCTTCCACTTGAACAAATGCCCTGTTTTAAAATTTAGGAGTTAAGGAGGATGTACTGAATATCCTGAATTTAAAAGAACAAAACAGCGATAATGGGGGAGGGAGAATAAATAAATAATTTCTGCCATTTTATCGTCGATAATATCACGGAAGCAACTTTATTCTGCATTTACTGCAGATAATTAAATAAGGTGGTGTATGTTTTGAGAACCTTCTATAATTCTAAAGTTATTAGAACCATTTAACTCTTTTCTTCCTCTCTAAGAGACATGGGCTTTTAACCTGGAGCACATAAATCACTTCACCGGCGTTTGAATGGAACCTTGATAAAGGTAGTTTGACTGCTCTCTTTTACATCTTGCTTATACTTGATGATTACAGCCTTAAACTCTATTTTCTCACTTGGCGATAATCTCCTTAAAGAGAGAGAGAGAGAGAGAGAGAGAGAGAGAGAAGTTCAGAAGTTTATCAGGTTACCATAGTGAAATGTAAAGGGATTTCACTTATCAAAATGCGAATTCGCTAACTTGTATATGGTTAAACATTACACTAATAATTTTATTAAATGTTTCAACGCTCTTCTTGACCAATAAGTGATATTATGGGACCTCATTGGTCTGAGACTCGAATTCTGCAACTCACCATGTTATCCAGACTTAAGGACTGTGGTTGGTCACCCCAACACTGGATACTTGTCGATGAGAGTCAAAACCGTGAAGCCTGATATGGCAGACTTGTACAGACGCCGAATCAAAAATGTAACGCGGCTTTGGGTAGTCATTAGGCTAATCACTGTTATTGTTCATGACTAATTAAAGTCATAATAATGAATCCTTACAAGGGGATTTTCAACAATTTATGAGTTTAGAAGTACACTGAAATCACTTGAGCATTTGGAATTTTCAGTGGATTGACATCGTTTCTACTATTTCGTTCATCCAAATGGTGGCCGCCACAGCCACTGCACTTTCAAATGTGTTTTGAGTAGGTCTAACCCAGATATTGGCTATATTAGAAATCTAATCAAGTGGACTTTCACATCACCCCCGTAGAAATTATGTTCCACCTGTGGCAATCTAGGAAACAGTGCTTTTTAGTAGAAAAACCAAAAATAACGTAAGACGACGTTTTTATTGGACAAATGGATATGAATGAGAGGAGAACCGGTAGAGAATTTGGAGGAATTGGGTCCAAGTGGGACACTTTCCGGGTTCTTAGGAAGAAAGGTTTGGATCAGGAGACGACAATACATAGAGTCACTGAGTAGGGCTATGAGTAAGAAGAGCTGGCTTCATTGAATCTTATTAGTACTACCCTTTTTAGAATAAGTTCTCCAACATTGAACGGTTCAAATTGATGAAATCGAATACTAAATTTACCGATGGTGATTTTTTCTGTTTTATTTCACAGAGCAGTTATCACTATAAGTAATAGTATATCATACTCTCGTTCAAGTCTTATTGGACGATAGGATTAATCTATCATTCATCTCTGGCAATTTTTAAGAGGAGGCCGCATAACATTGGGTTTGATACAAACATCTACAAAATTAAGGAAATGAAAAAAAGATGTGTTGACGCTTTGACGTTAGAATTTGTGTGACGTTTAGTTTGCACTAGATATTATGGTTGACGCTCATTGAAATTAATTTTGAAATGAATAATGTAGTCAATGATCAATCAAGCATTAATGATTTTTGAAATACTTTGCTACTAGATTTCAGTGCATCAATGGGT